TGTTTTTCTGGATATTGAACATGGATGAGCCTTTGAACATGACCAAATTTTACAGTTATTTCTCACTAAATACTGCTTAGCATACTCTGCAAAGTATGAAGTCAAGGAGCATATCGTCTCAAAAAAATGTTAGGATGATAAGTTTATACTTGGGAAATAGTAAGGGCTTTTCTAGTGAACTCTGTGTGTTCAATTTTGAGTGTATTTCTTCATGTACTTTTGCAATATTGAGATGGAATATCTAAATTTGTTGAATATGATTTTTTTTCTGCAATGACTAAAGAAAGAGTCCAGTTCTTGATGACTGAGCCATTTGCTCAAGATTGAGCGACAGTTTAAGAAACCCTGATAGCTAAACCTTAACATTAAAAATTGTGATAATTCATGATATGATTGATGTCTGGTTTGTTTCAAAATAAAATGCAATGGAGCTGAAGCATGGGTGAAAGTATACATAAAACAAAATTAACCACAAGTAGATGATGATTTTTTTTTTTAACTGAGCCGTTCTACCACATGTTGGAAGCACAGTGGCAGCTCAGCTCGGGCCGTGAATCGAACCGGGGACCCTGTTGCTCAGAGCTCACACTCTTGAGTGAGCTCTTAACCAACTGAGCCACTCGGCTGGCCAGATTTAAAAAAAAATTTATTGGGGAACAGCCATGGTCATTGGTTACACATTGCTTTCATGCTACAGTGGCATAGCTGACTCTCCTAGGGAGGGTGCAGCTCATAGTGGCCCACACGGGGACCAAACCAGCAACCTTGGTGCCATCAGCACCACACTCCAACCTACTGAGCTAACTGGTCACCCCAGCAGATAATTTTTGAAGCTAGGTAATAAGGACTTGGAAGTTCATTATATAGTCTCTTGACTTTTGTACAGTTGAGATTTTCCTATAATACTTTTGAAACAAGAGATAATAATTTTAGCCTGAAACAGTGTGATATTTCAACCTTTAAGTAATCGGTTAAGATTGAAATATATTACCAAAATACGCATATGCTACTTTGAGTAAACTCTAAAAATCACAAAAGAATCCTCATGGATATTATCATGAATAAATAAATGGCCCCATCTCATTCCTCATTTTGAAAACTTAGGTGAGCTCCCGTCTCCTTGGCAGTCAGTATGGCAGACAGTCATTTCCAAGGTGGGCGCCATAAGGGTGTCTCCCATCCCAGTTCCTATTCTTACCATGGGATTTTGGCACTCCTCTCACTGAGAGATGGGGGCTGTGTACCCTCTTACATCTGGGAGGGCTTGTGACTCCAGCAGAAGTAACACCATATGGCACTGTATTAAAAAAGGTAACGCAGGCCGGGTAAGTGGCTCGATTCCCACATGGGCCAGTGAGCTGCGTCGAGCTGAGTTGCCTGCTCCTGAGCTGGTGAGAGAGCATGCTCTTAGCAGCTAGGTTGCTGGTTTGACACCTGTATGGGATGGTGGACTG